ATCAAGTTCATCTTCATTTGAGCTAATTTCACTTCCGAAAACCACTTTTTTAGGGTTTCTAAACTATAATACTTTTGCCATGCTCGTCGAATCCGAACTAACGTTGGAGACGTTGTTTCAATATCATAGTTGAACCATAGTCTCGAAGGGATATGGGATTTTATCTCCATTTTAAAGTCTAACACTTTACACTTCTTACCAAAGAACACAAAGAGCTAAGGAACCAATTTACGAGATATACGGATTTACGGAGATATCGAAATCTAGCATAAACAGGGACTATCGCTTCTCGCTCGCCACTGGAGTTGCAGCACGGAATGCCGTGGCGACTGAAAGTCGCCTCTCGAGTGCCAAAGGGTTAATGGTACCATTATCGTTGTTACTGTCAGAATGCTTTATTTTCCATGCTTTACGTTACGAATTGAACGCTTTAAAAAATTAGTTTATTGTTTATCAGCGGAAACATACTAGGTGTTTGACAACAGATGGTAGAAATTTTGGGCACTGTTTTTATAAACAAAAATAACATGTAAGTAAAGAATAAAATGATTGTGATTTGTTTTCTGGTAGCCGTTAACATTTAAAAATTGACCAAAGTATTTCTAAAATTTGATAAATCTTATACGAATGAATGCAAAGTAGCTTAGGCGATAAAGAGCATAGTAATTTTTAAGCCCAATAGCACATGCTGAGCAACTTAGCTCGTACTAGGAGACAACGATAATGAAACCGAAAGTAAGAAGGCGGAACCCGCCATAAACTCAACAAAAAAAGGTATTAAATGAAAAATAATAACACAAAAGACAACCAAAGACACTAACAGCATCATAAGACTTTCGGCACAAAAGACGCGGAAATTCAACCCGCAGCCAAATCTGGTGACCAGGGCTAAAGGGTTAGTGTTGCGATACACAACTTACTAACGACCAGTCAGGCACAACTGATCGGTTGTTATCGCGAGCCTTGAACGTTATTAGCGCCCAAGGTGGAGGATTATAATAAACATAAAGAGCGAGGTTTAGTTTACCTTATTTATTCCACTCAATACTCTGATTACAACTGTCTTTAAGTTCACTGAGTTCCACTTACTACTCTGAATACACTGTCTTTAAGTTTACTGATTATCCTGTTACATATAGTGTTCACTGGCTGAATACTGTTACGTGTTGACTCTTAGAATACTGGTGCAAGAGTGAGTTTTGGGGATGTTGCTGTTGTAGCGGAAGGTTCGTGGTAGGTGTGTCTCAAGTCTGTTCCTAACTCATCATTGGGTAAAGACGTATGTTTGAGGATGGGCTGGCTGCCTTCGGGAATACTCACAGACCTACAAGCTTTACAAATAGACGACGTCCATTTCACAAAAGTCTCGCGGTTTACGACGAGAACAGCATAATCGACGACCCACCATAAACCTCAACTTTTTAAGTTTATTATTTCTATTATCTGTTTATGGATGGTGCTTGATGACTTCGTGGCCGAGTTTTAAGAGTTCGAATTTTAGTTCATCAATGTCTGCTGAGTGGTGGATGTTGCGTAGAACCACCCGGAAGGATCTTTCTTGTTTGAGTTGGTAAGTGTGGAAGTTGGCGTTCAAGGTCCTAAGTAACTTGGTGAGTTTTCTGTATGCATCAGGGTTTGTCGGCAGTATTTTTACTTTATTGTTATTTATCTTTAGGTTATAATCCTTGGAGATATCTCTCTCTATGGACTTGATCATCGTTTGTATGTCAATGACATCATCAATAAATATTGGTGGGGGAGGGGGGCTTCTCCGTGTGTGTTGGTTTGGTGGCGGGTCTACGATTTCCATGGCGTCGTTTGAGGATTCCAATACGGCGAACCTGTTGTGAGTGTTTACTTGAATTGTTGTTTGTTCGTTCCGGGTGTCGTTTGTGTTTGTTTTTGGTAGTTCTATTCTTCTTTTCTTCGAACTTTTGGCGTCATTGGTGCGGGGGGATCTGATGCACCTTTGCCACGGAGGAGGTAGCGCGGGGCAGTTATGAGTTTGCTCAGGAGAGCCTGGTCGTGATTCCTGGGTCATCATCGAGCTGGTCGAGCTAATTAATTCAAATGAATAACTAGTCGTGAGGCTATGAGGCTAGTATTCGGGTAGAGGTTGGGAGCGTAGGATTTTTTCTTTAAGGGACAGGGACACTTGGCTGTGTTCACTTTCGACGGATGGGCGACACGTGTTGTTTACGAACTTATGGAACACTACACGCACGTATGCACGCTTCGGCACTCAACAGCGAACTGACAAACATATTCCAGTATTCTTTGTAGAATCGTCAACACGAGCGAATGGTTCGAACTATTCTACGCATTTATTACCATCCTAAGTAAACGCGACATCAAGGATAAATCGAGATGCACTTTTATAAATAATAAATTATATTCCCTTGAAATTCGTTTACGATAGACAGAATTTACTGTAGTGGTACCGACAGTTGAAAGAAACCTCCAATAATTGCAGAAAAAAACTCGGCAACTGCATGATCGTTATTCCCCCCTTGGGGGGGGGGGGGGGGGGGGGGGGGGGGCGGAATTGTCCTCGACGCACGATGATGAGTATCGAGTGATGTCGATATTTTTTTAACTTAATTGCTAAATTTCATGTGGATGGCTACGCTCAGCAGGATACCATCTTCGAGTTTGACTGTTTTATTTCTTTAGTGAGGTCAGTAGGGTGTTTTTTTTAGTCTCCTTTCTATGAGAGTTTTGCTCGTTTCAGCAGCCAGCTGGTTTGGATTTGTTGCCGTTCTTTCCTTGTATTTTTTTGCGTACCTGCCGATTTCTTCTTTGACCGTTGGTATTTCTAAGTCCTTGCGTATATCCTCGTTTCTGACATACCATGGAGCGTTGACTATTGTTCTGAGTACTATCGATTGTAGCGACTCTAATTTATTTATGTGGCTCATTGTTGCTATCTCTCATAGTGGCAAAGTTAATATCATCAATGTATTGAATTTGAATAACTATGAGAGGACGATAATGTCACAGACGAAATCCGACTAAACAAAGCGATAAGATATCGAAATTCCAAGCGCCTTAGCATGAGTGACCATCGGCATAACATCCGGTCACTCTATCCGTTCTCCGAAATATATGATCGAAGACGTTTCCCACTCCCACAAATAAAAGAATTTAAATACTCCCCCTAAAATCATCCAAGTCAGTCTTGAACAGTCACGCCTAGAGCTCGGAAGAAAACCAAGTAAGTATTGTAAACCAGAAGAAAGATAAAGTTTCTTTTTTTCTTAAATTTCTTTTTATTTTACGTAACAATAACGCCCGCATAAAGTAATCACAAATTACTTACAAAAATAATTACAAATTTAATAAAAAATAATAACAAAGATCTATACTGAAGTAAAATTTTTGAAAACAAGCTGTAGTTTTGCATATGCCATTGTGAACGAAGTATTTGTCACGTAATAAATGACGAGGTAATATATATAATATAAAAGAAAGGCGATTGAACAATAGCCCGTTCGTATACTTTATTCATAAGGCGAAGTTACACTTCAATAGCAAAATACAGACTGACTTACTGACTAAAGGACTGGGATCTTTACCTCCTCACTATGATTCACATATCTCACGGGTGGGAATCCGGCTACTGTTTATTCTATCCGGCTACTGGGCTACTGTTTATTCTCACTGCTATCGCATGACCAGGTGTTATATGCATATCCTGAAGTCGGCGGATTCCTGGCTTCTGGGCGACGTTACATATTCGCAGAAGCTGTTTATTTAGATTCGTAAAATGTGATAGAAGGATAAAGAGAATGATAGCCGATGAATATAAACAAACAGATCGCTAAACAATGAACAAAGCGGCCAACGAGTCGGCTATGGTTACACTTGTGATTTGTGTCTTTGTCACAGATGCACACATATAGGTCGGATCCAATCAGCTAGTAATGACAGTTTTTTGCAAATATTTTGGATAGGAATTAGGGTTAAGCGGTAATTACGTGAATACCACAAATGTGTTTAGAATAATGGCCTCGACAGCAGGCCTCAAAATCCATGAAAATCCGCGATAAAGGCAAATTTCTAAATAATTAACATGAATTTTACTCAGTAATAAAACTAAGGTGGATAGAAATCGTTGATTACAAATTAGTCATGATGTCAAATCTTGTCTGCAATTAATTTATTCTTCTGTATTTACCGTCTTTATAAACGAATAAATATACAAAACAGACACATTACGTCAAAAATATTATTCGCAGCCTATCAACTACTGAAATTACTATTAAAATGAAATTTAGGTTTTGTTATAACAAAAACATTATCATCAAGAAAGCAAATTTAATGTTAAACTTAAATATCATACCACTGATTCATTAACATTCAAAAGGAAAGATATTCTTTTCTTCTCTAAAAAACAATAATAAACAATTAATTCCTCTTTCAGACGCAACTAAATTTAATTACTACGCAATTCTGTTATTTTCATATTTGTCTATTTCAGCATGAACTTTTTTGTGGTACTGTATCATGAAGCTCTTGTAACAAAACAGGACAGATCTCTAACTTTGTAGGTTCTTGTATATGCTAGCGTGAAAACGTTCAACACTTGGCCGCTGTTGGCAGCACTAGTCCGGGAACAACCGGAACCATAAGCATCAGCGCTCTCATTTCCTCTTTGATATAATTTCGTCTAATAACACAGATTAATTAAATAAATGTGTGTACATTTTTACAGAAATTTTAAATTTCGATAAAGATTATTAATGAGCTAAGACGGTTAAATGAATTATACAACTTTTAGAGTAAAAAATAACGGTATGTGTCTATCAAAAGTTTTTGTTAAAGTATAATTAATATATAATCACGTACGAACTTTTTTCTTTATTAAGATATAATTTTAATTATGTTATTTATATTGTTTTTAGTTATTTGATATATAGTTTGTCGAGATATAAGTATTGAATACATTCAAATAATTACAGAATTTTGAAATTGACTATTGTATCAGTTGTCTATTGTGCATTATGACGACGCGACAGTATCTACTTACATATGTATATTTGCACGGGTGGGGAAAATATGCTTACGATTTCTGACAACAGATGACATAACCTAACCTATGCACCTGCGTATAGTTATGTATTAATATCCCCACTACTTAATAAATAAATGAATACAGCTAGCAAGTTACCACGGAAAATTTACGTTGAAAGACTTGACGTCTTCTTCAGACTTTTTCGTTACAAATCTGAGGTATGATAACATTATTCGTTTTTTACTTTTTCTTTTCCTATGTATCATCTCATATTATACAATAAGGTTAATATTATTTCTTATTGAGTTACATATATTCATAATGTTATGAATTTATTTATAAAAATTATATAAATAAAAATTTCTAGTGCTAACATCGTATCCTAAATTTTTCATTTAGTGTAAAATCATAATGTTACATATATGCTTATGGTTTTAGCTTACATGATTTTGCACATTTATCCTTCCTATTTGTTATAATTTTGTTATGTTATATATGTACTATTTACAATATTTATACTTCAAGTTGAATTTCGACAAAAATGCTTTATTAAAATATTAAAATAATGATACAAATATAAAATTATAACATTCTGCATAACATTTTTAAATAGTGATCTTAATTGTTAGAACTTTCCAAATAATTTCTAATTTGTATGTCATAAATACTATAAAAATTAAGTAACCCATAATTCATATTAGGAAGCCTTTTTTTATTTTATTGAATAACTATAAGTAATTTAAACAAATAAAAAATTTTAACAAATTTTTTCTTAAGAAAAAAGAAAATATAATTTTTAATAAGTTAGGATTCTTAAATTATATCATTAAGTGTTTCAAATCATTTTTGAAAATTTGGATAATATAAATGGAACATAGATATCATCTCATTGTAAAAATACCTAACTAAATCAAAAAATTAAATCCATTTAAATAGGAAAACAATGTGATTTTATTATTGCAGACAAATATACAAATAAATTTAAAAGTTATTCAAGAAGATACTCACTGAAAAAATTATGTACGTTCTAAATCTATATATTACATTCATGAAACCTTTATTCTTAAAAGAGAATTTAGTTTAAGTAACATAATGTTTAGAATATTACTCAATATAATAAGTATTCAACAAAGAGTAGTTCTAACTTTAGTACATTTTTTAAAAAAATATTTAATAAATTATAAAATATTTTAAGTATTTTAAAGATTTATTATTAAATTTGGAACTTGATTTTGAAGTCATATTTTGCAGCTTTTATTTAATGTAAAAAGTTTACTATGTATTTAATAATAGATGCAAATTATTACATAAGATGTTTATTGCATCATGATAATGTTATACATATATTATAAAGATTGATTGGAATATTATGTTCATATAACATCCTGAATGTATGATAAAATTTAAAATTGTCTAATATTGGTTAATATTAATATGAAAATAGTATATACATTAAAAATACGAAAATAGGATCATTATATAAATAATCTGTGCAGTTTGATGTTGTATATACTTACAGAATGAAATATTTCTAAATAATTGGTTACTGTAATTTATAAAGAGCATTATTAATATTGTGTAATATTGTATATAAATGTATACAGATTTTAAACATTTTTATCAATTTTTTATTCAATTTTGAAATTGTATGAATTCAATTCTAAGTTAATGTATGAATTAATTTTTCCAATTAATTGATATATATTAAGTGTTATGTATAATATGTAACAAGAAGATGTTAAGGACTGCAAAGTCTCGTATGAGTTTTGTATTCATATTGTATGTGCATTCAATGCTTTAGGTTGATGGTAAAATAGCTCCAAAAGAATTTGAATGTATAGCCCTTTATCTCCCAGAGAATTTGTAAGAATATGCAGGAGTAATATAATAAATAAAAAAAATAAATAAATAAAAATAATTAAAAATTTATCAAAATAAACTGTAAAAATTTTAAATTGAAATAACATAACATAAGTATTAAAAGGATTTTATAAAGTAAGATATAAAAAGAACTTATTATTAATTTCCTGACAACAGTGGGCCATGTACTCAAATCCATTTAGAGCTGTTTTACCAGTAACCTGAAGCATTGAATGTATACACATCCAACTCATTTAAAATTTCACAGTTCTTGCCATTTCCTTGTAATATAAAATCAATGAAGTAATTAAGATATAATTCTATGGAAAGATTTAAGAAAGCAGTAAAAGATAGCTTTGAAAATTTACCAATTTAAATAATTAAAATTTTCCCTTATGCACTTCCTCAAAAAGAAATTTCTTTCTTGTACACGACATATTACTTGGAACTTATAAAGGCTGTTTTATAATAAGTAGGCAATATTTAAGGGAAGGATTTGGCGCTTAAAAACAATAAAAATGTTTGTATCAACATATGTTCTATTTGGATTTGTTTATACAATATAGTATAATTTGATTATCTTTATAGAAGATGCTCAAAATGATTTTTTTGTATTTCAATACATGCATGGAGATGTCTTGCTATCTATATATTTACACAAACTTTTTTTATTCATTAATATCTGGTTCTACCCTTAATCTTTTACATTATGTAGTAGTCATCCCAAAAATTGGTGCATATCATATAATTAAATCATATATTTTATTTAATTAAAAAATAATAGAATCAATATTTGCAATGATTTTTTAATAATATATCTTGTAACATGCTATTTAGTCCACCCTGTATATTTAAACATTTAGGTTAATTTACGTGATTTAGAAATGTTTTCTAATATAAAGGAAAGTTAAATTATCTATATGTATTTTAATAGTTTTAATAATTGTTTTATTTTGATAATTAATATTATATATTTAATACATTCTTCAATTTCAAAATTGATTTATACATACAATATATTTATTATTTTCTATTTGACCATCCTTTACAAGATAAATTTCAGAAAGTACTCAAACAAATATTTGTTTATTTTTAATGAGGAGCTCTTATGCTGACTTCCATGTCCTCAACTTCAGCAACTTATAGGAAATGAGTATCCTTTAAAAAAAATATACCGCTTTTTAATCTCTGTGGGATCTGTATTTTTAAAAATTTTTTTTTCATCCCACACCTATATCATAAAAGAAGTATACTGTCCAAATTTTGCTCTTCTAAGTACAGCTAAGTACAGGTTTGGGATGAGCATTGATGAGTGAATCAGTAACTTTTACATTATATAGTATAATATATATAGATTTATTTTAATAGAATACATATATGTATAATGTTAGAAAACATTATAATGTAAATATTAGAAATTTATTATTATTATATTATTGGTAAAAATAACTTTTTAATAATATAAAGAAGTATATATTAAATTAGTAAACTTATATTTTTTTACTTATTTGTAATTTCTTATTATTTAGTTATTAGACTGCGGATATTCAAGTAAAAACATGTTTTTACGAACACATAAAAATGGAACATGAATAGAAGTACTTTTGATCCTTTTAATATTAGAAGAAATACTTTATTCTGAATTCCTTTTATATTTTTGAATATTTTATGTATTCTATAGATTTTTGCATATTTAAATTTTTCATAAATGTATAAACATCCGCATAGTCTAATCATTATCAATTATTGCAATACTATAGGATCTTAATTACTTTATTGGTAAAATATTCATAAATTATTGTAAATTGATTATTAGTAAGAAAATAATCAGTTAATTAATAAAAGAAAAAGAATCAGAGTATCAATAAAAAATGAAAATTAATTGTGAATATATTCAAATTTTAATAATGTAAAAGTAATTATATAAGAATTTTGAAGGTTAGTAATTAAAACATAGCTTTGTTGTTTTTTCAGCATCATTACTATGATATTGTTCCATTTTTACCCTTTCGTATGTCCGGACTAGCTGCAAAGCAAGTATTTTTGAGAAATTTTTGTAAAAACATACTAACATCTGAGAGACTATCTTGCTACAATTTGGTGGGAACAATGGCAAATTCAGCTGCACAACAGAAATTAAATCAGGCATCAATGGAACCATTCTTGGAAACATATTACACTTCTAGTAATAATTATGAAATCCCATTAAATTTTTTACCAGAAAATTTAACATGTGAAAGTAACATGCAAACAGTTCTTGGAACAAATGCATGTGTTGAAACTCCAATGTTTTTAATGGATAAGTACATGTCTGATAAACAGAAGTATAAAGCAATGAGACAATGGATACGTTTTAAGAAAGGTAAGAAGTAGTATTAATATCACAGAAACAAATATTTGATATTCATTATATAAATTTTTCCAGAGAAGCTGACCTCTAATTCTGAAGAATCTTTTATTCTGAGAGTATTATCCTTCAACATTTTGGCACAATATCTATTGGAAACATATCCATTTTTGTACAAGGCTCATGACAAACAGGCACTGTCTTGGAAGATTAGGAGGCAGCTTCTCTTACAAGAGATTTTAGGAGCACAAGCTAACGTTAGTTTTTTAAAGTAATTTTGTGTATATATTTCTATATAATATTAGAAGCACAGATGAGGTACAGGGTATCCACCTTGCTATCTTAGTAATCCTGCTATCAAGCAGTGAAGGCCCACACCGATTTTGATGTCACTTCCAATTTTAGCAGTCCAATATAGAATCAAATTGTAACATCAATAGCAGTTAAAATTGATAGTAACTGTATCTACGAAATTTTAAATAGGGTAGTTACAAACGTTTGCAATGAGATACCAGAAACTATTAAATGATATAATCTTTTTTCCTCTATTCAGGAAAGTTGAAACTTTTTATTAATTAATTACTTCTTAACGTGCAAAAAGTTACTTCTATTATTTAGTTTGCAAATTGAAAATAAACTTTTATTTTGCAGTTTTTTAAATAAAACATTATTGAAAATCTGAAAAATATCATTGTAGTATTTAAAATTTATTTTATATATAACATGGATCAATTTGTCATCGACATCATACATCCGGTATAATGACTTTTTTTTTAATTATTTTGTTGTGACGTATATATAATAATAGAAATAATAAAAACGGGCAATCGGACTCCAATGACCCTGGAAAAAAATAGTATACTGTCCTAGTTTATAGCATGGCTTACTCTGTCTTATGTAGTAGAGATAGATCTTTAAAGCATTAGGCTTTATTGGCGCTATGAACGTTATCGTTGTAGTATTTGTTGTGCTACACATTTTTCCGACTTTGCGACCACTGGTAACTCTTGTCTGAAATTATATTTGCCAAATCGATTCATCTATTGACAATAACTTTTGAACCAATGGATTCCTAAAGTCTAAACCGTTATATTTCGTCTCTATTTATTGAATAGAAGAAGTTCAAAAAATCGGAGAATAGAAGAAGTTTAAAAAAAGGTGGTATGAACAGCATTTTATTTTTTTTAGAGATCATTGAGATTCGACTGATCATTTTTATTATTTCGCTCGTTATATACACGTCAGAACAAGATAATTAAAAAAAGTTTCATCAAAATCAAAGAGGATGTCACACCGCTAGGTTCATTGCATTCTGATATTTATTATATAAGATATAAATTTGTGATACATAACATGTCGGAATGGTATCTTACTTTATGTTCTAACTCAGGTAGAAGGTTCCAGTTTCGATCGAGTAAACTTTATGAGAGGTGTGATTGACTATCTGTAACCCCACAATCAATTCCGCATAAACTGCAGCGTTGTATGTGAATTCATGCATAAAATGATATTTAATGATTCATTTTGATATTAATTGCGGTAATTATTTATAAAGCAGACGTCACGGATTTCAAAGACATTGAAATATGTTGTCAAGGTTAAAGGTCATTTTGAACAATTTTTGCTTATACATGTTTTCCCGTTTTTCGGTTTTGGTTTCCGGAATATTCGAAAAAAGCTTTAGTTCAATTTACGTTACTTATGATTGCACTTCATTCTGGCATAGATGGACGTCTCACGGCTCACAGTGTCTTTACTTTTATATAATTCAATCTAACTCATTTTTGATGACCATTTTCGATCATTTTCAGAAAAAGAAAAATCAATGGGTTAGGTTTGAGTTAGATAATTATTCGGCCGCCCACGCTGTAAAATAAAGTAAAGTAATGAATAATAAGACAAATAGAAATGAATTGCTTAATATGATATTAAGCAATATGGTTTATATTGTGGAATACCACAGACTAATAACATACATATTGTAGACAGCAAAATACAGTATACAGCATCAAATATATTTTTACAAATATCTCGGAAACTAAAGTCAAGTGACAAGTAACATTTAGAGGGCGAAGTTGTTCGGGATGTTAATCATGACAACATATTTTAAACTGATTGAACTTGGTGAAATCATTTGCTTTGTAGCAGTTACCTTAATTTCTAAATCAATTAGGGGCGGGAGAAGTTTAGATCTTATGAAGTGTATCTAATATATCCAGTACATATACTGGAAAGCTTTTCCTATTTAAATTTTTTCATTATAGAAATCGTGAGTTTATATGTATTCGATAGTAGATAGTCTCGGTAGATAAACATTGATGTATAGAAAATATTCGAACATCGACTGCATAAAATTTGTTTATTTTTAATTTTAAGTCGCTCCTTTTAGTTTGTCGATGATAAATGATCCTCAGTTATATTACATGATGTCAAAGGTATCTACCGATGAGTAGCTTTTAGCAATGTTTCACTTGGAAAATTATAAAATAAAGATGTACTTGCAGTGAATCAAAGAAGTATTGGCACTTAAATATTTTTCCTAATTACCTTTGCATGTTAAAGTGATATATGAAATTTGTCTTTTAGTGTCTTTTAATGTGAAGAAGTAGCTTATTTTTATCAAGCTCTTAATAATCTAATTTAAGGAAATACAGGAAGAAGAATGAAAATTTCATAGCCAAAATAACACTTGTGAGTTTAGACAGAAAATATACTAGTGTATTTTTTGGAATTTCTTTCTTTTATACATTTTAAATATGATTGTAAGAATGCAAATGTAAACAGTGAATCAGCAACAAAAAAATTGTAACATAATATCAAAATGTGGTCACGTGAAATTGTTCTCAAATGTGTTTTAATTATTACGGCTTCTGGCGTTAGAAAATTGTTAGACTGTTGCTTTCCTTAGTGGATATAAGTTGTGCATTATATCAAAGTATTCTAATTTGTAGCTGGTATACTATATACTATCTCCGTAAGGCACTAGGCTTATCCTGAACCTCATCTGTGCTAGAGAGCTAAAAATCTGACTCCTTAATATATTTCTCCGTCGGAGAAAAGGGACTATGAACTCTACCAAACAAGAATCGCGTAAGTAGCGATTAAATAAATTGATTTAATAGGTACTTAATGAGGTGCTTCTAAATTTTATACGTATCTGTTACTGTAACACGATTTATGGCTTTTTTTATACAGAGATATACTCCCTTTTTCTTATAACTAGGACAGAGAATATAGATACACCCTATATAATAAACGATAGGACACCTCAGGGATTTTTGCGTTTCTCTAAGTTAATGCAATGTAAGAAGATTTTTTATAGATCCGGAGGCATATACACTGTTCCTTCATGGTAACATAGAAAAGCTTCGATTGCTGTTTAAGTTTTTTTAGAAGTTAGGAACTTTATAGGTATTTGATTCGTTTATATAAAAAGCAGGTCTGACAAAATGATAGGATAATAAGTAAGATCTCAATAAATGCGTATTTAATTGTATTGAAGCAGTTTTTGTAAAGTGATATTAATAATGGTAATAATAATTAGTTATAATATTAATTATCAAACTCTCGTGGAAAAGAGTTCAAAGATACTAAAAACAAAACCATTTTAAACTTAAGAAGAAAAATGTGAGTGTGAGGAACGTAACTCAAATCATAAAGATAAATTGCAGAGAAAGTAGGAGTAGACATTCATATGCAGAATATGCAACAAAAACAATTTAGAGGAAAACTGTTGATGTTACAATAGAATTGGCAATGCGAAAACTTTGTTTATAACCATGTTTGTTTATTTTTATAGATGAAAAAGGAAATGCTTAGAGTGAGAGAATTATAAAAATAAGATGGCATACAAGTACAAAAGGCGATAATTAAGGCATCAATTAGTATGATATTACCAATATAAGATTTTTTAGGAGAAAACTGCAACCTATACATGAAGAAATAATATCATATGATACCATATAGCGATATAGCGACAATTATTAAAAATTATTTTTTCGTGGATAATATCCATAATAGGATGCACATCTGGGTGTCGTAATTTTAACATAATAGAAATTTGGGACGTGTCGTCACGAAATATATGTACAAGATGTTAAAAAGAAGGGTTTAGTAATTTAGGGCCTTATATTACATACTCACAGAGAAGAGTAAAAAATGTGTAATCAATGTAAGTCCTAAAAACGATCATTCCGATGTAAAATTAATTTTTATTAGTTATTAGCGTTGGATATCTCTTTGTAACACATTAAATGTGTAGCCATTTGAGAGTTAGGAGTTTGAGAGAAAATGTTCGTTGACGGCTTGGGTAGGTTAATTTCGAAAGCATGCGTCCGGCAAGCGGAAGATCCGGGTTCGCTGCTGCACCAATCTGATCTGTCGTTTATTTTTTTCTCTACAAACGTATAGTCGTTGGAAATTAAAGATGCAAAAATCAGAACATGTGTTCTGTATGTCAGTTCCGAAGGATGCATATTTCTCCGTTAAAATAATAATCGGATATTATGACAATAATAATTTTGTATTTAGAATGTTGAATGAATGAATGTTTCTAGTTCTCCTGTGTCGAAAAAGAAGACTCATAAGAGAAGAGAAATATTCATAAATTATTTGGCGAACTCGAAGCCACCCCGTGTCCTTCGTACTAGCGCTAACATCGTTCTATGTTACTATGTGTGTTACTATGCGTTTTTTCATGCTTGATTGAATTTGCAACAACGCCATTTGATTCCATCGGCTATAATTACATTAAATGTGTTGTGAAAAAACAATATCGAACGTTAATACATAATAAAAGTTGATTTTATATCAAAAGGATTGCTTTTAGGACCTACGTAGATTATGCATCTTTTACTCCTTTTGGCGAATACTATAAGTCCGTTAAGTACTGGACCCTTTTTATAACATTCTCTGTATACATAATTTATTTAGATCATATCATTAATTGCATAAATGATAAGAAATGATAACAATAATTAAGCAAGAATCGAAATTTACATTAAAATAATCTATAAATCTTCATATAAATTATTATTCAAGTATAAACTGTATAATTATTGATATTATTAGCAAATAGTAAAGTAAAAGATACCTTTTTATAAATATGATTGCACTCCTTGTCAACAAGATGACCCAGGTGTGCTATCTTTAATTTCTTAATGATGCGTGCAAACTTTTTCGTTTGTAATGTATAATATCAAAACATTATGAGCTCAGGATATGTGGTTCGTTGAAAATAATTGAAAATATTATGAGG